CTGGCTTCGAATCCCCACAGCTGCAAACATTTGTGCGGGCCACGAGGGTATTTACATGGGCTGCTCTCGCCCTCCAGACCACTTCGCGTAACCAGGGGCCCTTAAGTGGAGGCTTAAAAATCCTGTAATGGCATGGGCTTAGGCCCGGTGGGCTAGTCGATCACGCTTAGTGGTCGGATACTGGATTATCAAAAAAAAATTTTTTTATGTGCTCTACGCATGTAAAACTTTCCGCCTTTAGTTTTATGTGCTCTACGCTTGTGTAATTTTTTGAATATAATCCTTTCACCTATATGCGTTTATTGTAAACATGGGTTTTAAGATAAATACAATTTCACATTATTTTAATGAAATGTTCTAAAAAATCGCTAAACGTCTAATAATTTATAGAAGATTATTGTTTAAATAGGAGTATAGGCCGATTTTTTGAACGATCAGAAGGACGTGTAGGCGTTGTCTAAACCGATTTTTAAAACAACGAGATTGAAAACACACAAAAATACTCAAAAACAAAGCTTTTAGAGACGAAAGCTATTAGCTTTGTTTTACAGAGCAATCCACTTTAATAGAAAAAGATTTTTATAGGTTTTGTAACGAAACATTAAATGCTAAAAAGGAGTAAAGGAGAGGCATGAATCGACGTCCTGTAGGCATGGTTTTCGGCGAGGTTCTCTTCGTCGGCGATGGATGTTTCACTTCCCTCATTAAAGTGAGTCGCTGCCTTTGGGCATTCTCCCTATCATTTGTTCATTTTTATTCTTCTATTGGGCTTTTATATTCTAGAGTGGGTATGATGTAATACATGGTTATGCTCTTGTTAGCCTTCCTATAGCAAAATATATAAGGTAATGAAGGCAATGTTCCTCCGTACTGACCTGGCTTGAGCATAAAGCATACTCGTTAACTACGTCTCACCTTCTATATTCACACAAAGAGGAAGAGAGATCTCCACACAATCAGAGAAGAACCCTCTCAAAAACAAGTAAATTGGAGCTTACTTATTTGCAGAGTTTTATGGATATGATCGCAGTAAATAGTTGAATTATTGGCGCAGAAGAATTACCGGGCAAATCTCCTTTGGCAGAGAACTCACTACAAAGCAATGCATAAAGAGATGCAAACGTCAAGTAATGGTTTCCTGCCAATAGAGATCTTGCCCTGTAATTCATTTTCACCTTTGATATATCACATCTCTCCACAACTGTAACCTGAAATATTCAATGTTTGTATTTATATACAATCTTGGAGAGAAGCATATTCCATGGTACAATGCTACTGGAATTTAATTAGTACTGAGGTTTTATACCGAGAATGATCTCTTCTTCTCAGTATACTTTCTAAGGAACTTTTTTTCATGCCACAAGTTTTATGCTTAGACATTCCTAAATAAAGAGCAGTCCACCACTTTTCTTTTCACGATATTAAAATCCGTGGCCACATCGTCTGCGGCACATAACAAATCAAAGTAAAAAATAGTACATGCATCATTTCAGTTCACAATACCAATCTCTAGTTTTAATCAAAGAAGTCAATACCAGTGTATATTACCTACCATTTTTTTTGTTGCTAAGAAGTATATTACCTACCATGTGCTAATCCTTGTGAATAAAAACATGGCTTTATAGTTTTATGATATATATATTTTTTTTGAATGAAAGGCTTTCAATTTTTTTAATGATATTTATTACATTATATTATAGATCATCAATTCGTTATACTTAGAACTCCCAATCCAATTAGTCTGATTTGGAAGGGTTTATAAGACCACTTGTTTAGGTGTTCTATTTAAAGTAATGACAAAAAAATAAAAGAATGCTTAATGTGGAAAGAGGAAAACGGGTGGTAGTTCATTAATTATATAAAGTTAAAAGTGATTCTCGAAATGGAAGATCCGGGGGAATGTTCTTTTTATTTTATGAAGCTTGTACGTGAAGATACATAAATTGCAAATGTTCAAGGAAAAAAGATACATACATTGCAGAAGCTCGAAACTGCAATTTACATGAACTACAAAATTATAATAATATATACATAAATATATACGTCATGCTTGATGCTGCTCAATAAAGGTAAATCAACTTTGTAAAAAGTCCAAAGTTCTAATTCTGTCACAATATAAAAAGTATTAAAGCAATTGACTATATTTATATAGTCATTACTTTGGAGATTCTTTCTTTAAAGATCCGATCATTTAATTATCCATTCATATTAAATGGAAGTGACGAAACTGGCATAGTACTTTACTTTGTATCCTATTCTTGTATCACTTTTTAAGATTTGAGATTTTGTTTGAATAATGGCTCAAGACAAAACGTTCTTAGTGGCAGGTATGTAAAGGATATTCTCAAGTATATCTAGCTATACCGAAGATCAGAACACTCGAAAAACAAGAAGAAGATCAGAACACTCATACATTTACCATTCGTGAATTGTACCATCTTCCCTTACGTTAATAATAAGCGTGCGTGATAGTGGAACTGGAAGCCTTATGATATATAAGATTTCTTGAAATTGTACTTACTATAATGAGGTCAAAAATCGATTTATACATTGTCATCTTAATCTAAAATTATAACTTAAATCATCTTTATTTGTATTTAAAATATCAGAAATTCCTACATTTAGTTTAAAATTTTAGAGTTAACTCAAAGCCGGCTTTGAGCTCCGCCTTGGGGTCATTAGTCTATTATAGCTAGGCTTTAGAAGCCTCTTTGATTAAAAACAGGCACTGGTCTACTTGGTAAAGCCTCATAAATATATATATGATTGTTCTTGTGGTTGATGGTCTGTGTCATATGTACAGACGGACTACAAGGAAAAACCATAGCTCAAATACTCGAGTGATGCATTGCTAACACATTTTTAGGAAACAAAACTTAAAACATTTAGAGATTGATCGATTTCTGCATAAGCCTTTCATTTTGGTAGTTATTCCAAAAGAATATTTTATGAGAAAGTTCCGAACTGGAGTTGAATTACAAGGAGTTTGTCCACTTGACAGTGCATACATATATGCTTCAATGAAACATGGGATGTGCCACCGGATATGCTAATATATAAGTCATAATGTGCATAAAATTAAACCATATACACTCTATATATAGTGTTGCTGCGGTCAAAAGTTAGTTATCACTCAAAATAAAATGAAACAATAGTGAGGAAGATCTATAGTTGGGAAGAAAAGAAAATGATGCATGGTTGGGTTACAGGGCAAATACTCCATTGGCAGATATTTTCACTACATCTATTATCTAAATATTAGTAATAGTTGAGATGTATGAAAAATGATTTACTGCCAAAGGAGATTTGCCCCGCAATTCATCTTATGCAAAAGAACATACATGAATCATCTATCACGGTCACAATGGAATGGTAAAATATTTTTTTGACGGTGAAAATCACTTATATATATATTGAGTGCATTGATATAGTAGATGTTGTTTCCACTGTAGTAATTTTTAGGAAAATTAAATGTAAAATATCATAGGCGCGCGCATATCATATGACTGATCTCAGTATAAGCAATATATAGCATGCACGTTAAAGGAAAACAAACTTCTTTTTTTGTCGAATAGGAAAATAAACTTTTTTTTTGGGACTAACAATAGGAAAAGAAACTTTACCATCACGTTCATCAACGATAAAATCGAAGGTCGATCGAGTCGGATTGTGGAATGCACGGTTATGCAGGTTAAAAACAAATGAAACTTATGGTTAAGAATCAATATGTTTGAAGTTGGCCCATCCTGATAGGTTGGCCGTAACTAAAACGTGCTACGGTCAAATATTTAAGTGTCGTCCTCTTTCGTATGGAAATATTGTTAAGAAATTGGATGACCCTTTTCTCAATAGTTGACAAAAAATATGATTGGCTCTTCGACTAACACAGCGTCTCTCCAGATAGCGGATGACCAACGCGTCATGATTAACGTGTTCGTCTATGGGTGTCCTCTGTCCAGCTTCGGGTATTATTTGTTAGTAGTTAACTAGGAATATATCAGATTTAGGTTTAATCATTATTATAATCCTTTTTTGGTCTAAAAATCTGACAAAAATCTGATAGTATTATTACTCCCTCCTCTTTTCATATGATGTTTTAAGTTAGTTCAAGGAGATTAAGATTTTATTGGGAGAATGTATTTTTAAAGATATGATGTATTACTCCCTCCACTTTTGTGAGAATGTATTTTTAAAGATATAGTTTTTAAATCATTTAACCAATTATAAAAAAATGTAAAATTTTATTGGATGAATAGTTTTCAATAAAATTAAAATTAATATTAAAATTTCAAACATATTTTCAAATTTCAAAACATCTTATATTTTGATACAATATAAACCGAGGGTGTATTAATTGTTATTACAATCTATCTCTCTATTCCAGCTGAAACTTTGACTTCCCCTACGTGTAAATGGAAATGTAAATGTGTAATGTGAACAAGACTAGCACTACGACATTATTTTTAATCTCCTTGCTGTTACGTGTTAAGAGATTAATGTAATATAAAAATGTTTGAGAATGAAAAACGTGAAACAAATATAGAAGTATGCAAGACACAGTAAGTTCTAACCATACGTACGTGTGATACGTCAATACCTATTTATACACAAGTTTACTTTCTCTCACACAATCACCCACCAAGTTTCTGAAGCTCTTCGGTTCATGAGGGCTCGAGAGATGGAAATAAGCGAGAGCTCAGTAAATAATTATAAACAAAATCCAGATACCAAACCCGAAGGAGATGTGTTGGAGGCACGGAGAACCAGAGGAGCATCACGGAGGAGTAATAGAAGAGTGAGTGTGTTTGATTTAGAAGCTGAGGAGACAAAAGGGTTTATAGATTTAGGTTTTGTCTTCACAGAAGAAGACTTGAACTCGGAGTTGTCGGAGATTCTTCCCGGACTGCGGACGTTTCTCCACCGGGAAGAACAGAGTAAGAAAGATTCGTCGGTTCCCAGACCATACTTGTCGGAAGCATGGGAGTTTCACAGTGATAAATGGAGTGGAAGATCAGAGAAGGTTTCAATGGATATAGATTTGAGAATGGCTAAGTTATGTGGTGACAGGTACATGAAAGATAGTCTTAAATGGTGGGCTCGTTCTGTAGCTTCTAATCTCAAATGAGATCCAATCTTATTTTACCTTTTTTTTTTTTTGAACACACCAATCTTATTTTACTTATTCTTCATTAATCTTTGGTAGTCTCTATTAATCTTTATTATTACTATTGTTTTGAGTTTTCTATATAGAAATTTCTAGATTAGTCTTTTGAGATGTTGAGCCCAAAAAAAAATTGATTTAACGCACAAGACCAACTTGTGGTTAATCTCTCTATTAGAATACATGTTGGTTTAAGATGCAAGAATGTAAAACAAACACTTTTTGGTCAAGAAAACAATGTGATATATTATTGGAGACGATGAATATGAGTTTCCAATTTAAAACTAATCATTGGTAAATATAATGGTTCAAGTCCCTTATATCTTATCTCCAACAAAAACAACACAAAATTATAACATGAGATCAAGCTCCTAAACTGAGATCTTCATCACACCGGTAAACTTTTAGCACAGAGTCACTGATAGACAAGAGTTACTTTTGACTTGAGCATAAAAAAAATCTCCGTTGCCGGAACTCGAACCCGGGTCTCTCGGGTGAGAGCCGAGTATCCTAACCAGCTAGACTACAACGGATTGATGAGCTCAAGCTCTGAACTTGAAATCTTCTTGTCACCGGTAAACTTTTACCACAAAGTCACTGACGACACCTTTGACTTGAGCAAAAAAGTCTCCGTTGCCGGGACTCGAACCCGGGTCTCTCGGGTGAGAGCCGAGTATCCTGACCAGCTAGACTACAACGGATAGATGTTACGCTATGTCTCTTGACATAAGAAAACAGAAGCAGCGCAGGCCATCCTCAGGTCAAGAAAAAAACTAATACAAGGTGTAGAAAAATTGAAAAGAGAGTAGGCAATAGAGAGCATATGTGCCTAAATCTTAAACATTACTATTCTTTTCGTTGATCTGAAATTTTTGATGTTTTGTTAGTACAAAATAGAATGAAGACACTATATCATTGATTCCAAGTTTGTAATTCACTAAGAAACATTATGAAATCTGTTGAACTAGAAATGTTTTCTACGAGAGTTAAACATCACGGCATCGTTTTGGCCATGACTCAACTTCTTCTCTTCAATCATCTCTTGAGATCGTCCTTCCCAGAGCCGGCGCGAAGGAAGCTCATGCTTCTTGCCGCTTTTAAGTAAAGAAAAATCAGGCAACAAAATTTCCTAAAGCAACCCTAGCCTTTTTTTTTTTTGAAACACAACTTACTTTTTCATTCATACTTAACTTGTGCAGTTACAATAAAAAGAGGGAATTAAACATCCTCTTAGACTAAAAACATAAACAACTCTAGCAAAATAAGTTAAGATAGATAGTTCTTCATAAGAAGATGACAGCGAAATCAAGACAAAGCTTGACTGCGTCGGTAATGCTTTCACGACAAAGTCGGATAGCTGAGAAATAGTCATATGTGACGTTGAAAACCAGCTTTCACCTACGAGAAAAACCGAAGTAATCTCAGTTGCATCTTCAGGCCCCGTACAGACCGCTACACAAGATTGCAAACCGGTGAAGAAACTGAAACTGATACTTGATAATGAAACCAAGGAAACATCTCCTTTCATAGAAAGAAGGTATGGTGATAAAAGGTACTCGGTCGTGAAACCAAGGCCAGGTGAACCCACCTGTAAAATCATCCCACAGGAGAAATATGGCAACAGGCAACGAGAGAAGCTGGAAATCTCGTACACAATAACCCAACCATCAAAAATCAATAAAGATCTGATCATTACTTCAATACTTATGGGCTCTAGAACAATTAAACTTGAACTTCCAGACTTTGTAACACATATGGGCCAGGCCCAATCAAACTGAACAGACAGCTCACACTTTGCTGTCGAACTGGAAAGAAACGCGACGGATCTGGACTGTACCTCGGTATCAGAAGAGAAGACACCGATAAGCTACGCCGGAGATGAACCGTACAGTCGCTGGAGAGGATACACGCCGGGGAAAATGGCTTCACTTTGAGCAGTGGAGATAATGAAGAGCTGCCGATGAAGTTCGGATCTACTCTCGTGAAACTTGTAGATCTGGTGCTGTATGACTGGAAAGGAGCAAACCACGGTGAGATGTTGGGCTCAGGTCTTCCCAGAGATGTAAAGAGAGAGCTTATCGGTTGAAAATTGAGCTCCATAGGCGGTTTAATGGCTTGGACAGAGTCGACATCATGACTTGACCTACAGCAGCCAGAGGTAGATTCGACGGGAATACTCGCCGTGAACCTAAACAGAGCGGTGGTGAGAGAGCCCTCTCGACGCATCACCGAATCAGAGACCAATCGGAGTGAAAGAGTCGCCGGAAAGACTACGCCAAAGAACCGTAGCACTCGTCTTCGTGTTGAAGTCCGTTGAGATCTCATTCCTCCGAAAATCAAAGAGAAACAGGCCGGAAACCCAGTGAAGAAGAAGTACAGGAGAACAAAGGTAGGAGAGACAAGCAGCGCCGACAAGGGAACCCAGCGCCGGCGAGAAACCGCTTCGCCGGCGCCAGGGAACATGGTTCTTAAGGACGTCTCGGGGTTCGTGTCTGAGAGGCTAGGGCGAACTCTCTTTTTTTATTTAATTGATTAATAATATGATTGGATACGTAAGCAACCCTAGCCTATTGTTTCATTTCAGTGAAACAAATTCCCATTTGTTCAGCCCAGGTTAGAATCTTTGAACCTGCATGTTAAGATATCAATTTTTCTTTTATTTAACAATAATGTGACCGTTTTTTATTTATTTTGCTTCTAGTCTCAATAATGTCAGGACTGGATCATCGGCTCTGAATCCTTCCACCTCTCGCCTCTGTATAGTTGAGATAAAAAAAACCACACGCTTAGATTCCTTCGTCAACAGACATAATGAACATGAAGATGAAAGATTCAATCTTCCAAAATAACTGTTCCTGAAGACTGGTTGACTGGGCAGTAGCTCAATATATTATGCATCAAAACGATAGAAAATACAACTTATTAAAAAAAAAACTTAAGTAAAAGCTGAGTATCTAGAACCAGCAGATGCAAGCTGCAGTGGTCCGGATTGAGGATAGGGAATCCTGAGTCCCTGGCCCTGGTGCTAGAGGTGGATTCTTCACGTCCCCATCAACCTGATTTAACCAAAAATACACCATAAATGAAGTTAGCTATTAGAACTAAACATGCCAGAATCTTCTGATCATCTCATTGTAGACATTTAAATCTCATAAAATGCCTTATCCCATTTGGATTTCTTGTCAGGTCAACCATCAGGGGGAGACATGTCAGTTGGGAAGGCAATGTATCCACTAACACATGAGACTTGTCAAATTCTTAAAATCCATCAAATTTTGGAGAGATATATGTAGCTGAGGTATAATTAAAATCCCCCTATACATTAAAAGAGAAGTCACTTTGACACATGGCACTCACACGGCCCTTCTCAGAAGAATTCTATCGATTCTATTGGTTGATTTTTTACAATTTATTTTTTTGATTTATTTTTACCATCGACGCTACTAAAAAGGAAATCCATTTAAATACTTACCTTTTGTGTTTTCTCGATTCAAAGAACATCCTTTTGCGATCCTTTCTCTATTTAATTCATTAAATACTAATTAAATATTTTAGATGTGAGAGAAACAAAATTAATTGACAATATATTTTCACTTTTAAAATCATGCATTTAAAACAAAATTAATTGATAAGATATTTTCTCTCGAAAACCAATATTTTCTCACGAGATGTTCTCCTTTAGCTTTATCAACAAGATATTCCAAAAATAATATTACCTTAAAAATATAAGATTTATTGAGAATTTATTAGAGAATATGTTACTTCTTAGCTTATCATGCAAGCTAAATCATTGAGAAACGTCCATCAATTTACTATAAATAAGACATTCACAGTAGAAGAAATGANCAAGCTAAATCATTGAGAAACGTCCATCAATTTACTATAAATAAGACATTCACAGTAGAAGAAATGAAATCATTGAACTTTGTATTCTGAACTTTTTATGTTAATAATGTTCTGAATTTGCTTTTCTTCTTATTTTAGAACATTAAGCTTTTATATTTCATGAGAGCTGATTTTTCTTTTGGTTTATATGCAGATATCCGATTATGACGATTTCTCCACTGAAGCTATATATGATTTGATTGTACACCTCTTTGATATATCATTTCGATAACATCTTTGTTCCTCAATCTGGTAAAAAAAATTCTCTATTTAATAACATCTCTCAGCTATATCATCTCGTGAATAAATTAAGAGCTGATTTTTCTTTTGGTTTATATGCAGATATCCTATTATGACGATTTCTCCACTGAAGCTATATATGATTTGATTGTACACCTCTTTGATATATCATTTCGATAACATCTTTGTTCCTCAATCTGGTAAAAAAAATTCTCTATTTGATAACATAGAGGTGTATAATCATTTAATTTCATAACTGTTCTTCTTAATTTATATTACTTATGGGTTATATTTAAAATTTTTATTACATTTTCTTTACAGGTTTCTATGGGATTATGTTATATATTTCTATAGATTTACAATATATCAAAATCAAAATTATTTATTATTCTTTATTTTTATACTCATATTATGGTATTAGGAAAGATATACCTTGTTGGTAAAAACTTTTAATTAGTTAATCCGTTTATTAATAATTTACCCTATTTTGTTATCAATTACTTGCGCAAGTTGATATGTTGATTACCTTATTTTGTCATCAATTACTTGTCTTAAATGGTATGTCAATTATTACAAATTTATGACAGTCAATTTTTAATATCTTTCTTTAAATTGCTTCATGGCATATTATGAATTTTTTTCCAATTTTTAATATATTTCTTTAAATTGTTTCATGCCTTATTTTAAATTAATATAACTTGCACAAGAAAACTAATATTTAATTCAAATCAGCTTATGATTTTGTAGATCTAATAACTTTCTTTATTCAGTTTAAATATTTATTATAAAAAATTAATATTTTCTGCTTTGCCTTCTAAATCGGTATTACACTTTATAATTGCTTAGATTTTATAGTTACAATAGCATACTAATGAGATGAACTATTTCTCTTGCAGGTCATGATGTTGCAGTCCTTAGGTGATATTCCTTGTGGTGGTTTTTTAGGAACTCATTTGTCCAAAAGAAAAAACCAAGAAGATCATGACAGTAACCTTGGAGGATCAACACTCTGTCAACAAAAAACATTCCCACAAAAAAATCAAGGGCGAGTGATCTCGATTTTTTTTTTTAAAATATTTATTTGTGAATAGTTTCCAGGAACAACACATTTAGTCTTTTATCACTATCCATGTTA